TTTTACAGCCTGATAAGTTAGGGAGGCTCCTTTCTGAGTTTCTTTCCCTGCCTGTTATGCAGCTGCAGGCCACCCCCCTTCATCTGATTGTTCCCTAGGCAGCATCTCTTCCCCCATCTCCCAAGATCATTCCCACATAGCATTACAAGATCCCAAATTGAGGTGCTTCCATTTCCAGTTTAAAAAAACTAGCAAATGATTGATCTTCAGACTTTGGAAAGCTGTTGCCAGACAATCTAACTAAACAGATTAATAACTTATGTTTGTAATGCAAGGGCCCCATCTGCACAGTTTGGTGGCTCATACATATTATTTATTCATGGCATGGGTTGCCTGTGCAGGAACCTATAGATGTGCACATACAGGCAGTGTGCAAATTGGAGGGTCTTAAATGGAAATCAAAAGCAGCCCACCAGACTTCGTACTGATCTCATTTAGTTTTACCACGATAAACAATATGGCTCTGCAATCAACTCTAATCCAACATGAAATTGAATGATTCAATCTAATTTCCCAATCTGAACACATTTAGAGATTGAGTCAAATTGTTTTTAAATCTTTTATAAGCTGCAGGATCCCTGGCAGAGCATAGCATTTGTATGCAGGAACAACATCTCCAGGCATACCATCTCCAGTTAAAGCCTCAGAAATCAGATGACAGAAAAATCTCTTGCTGCTTATTAGAGTAGACAACATTGGGTTTGATAGACAAACCACTTGGTATGATGTAAGGCATGTGTTCTTATCTTCAGCTTTGTTTTAAGGATATTAAATACCAACCCATCCCTTTTTTCTGCAGAATCTGATTTATCTCTATCAGTCCATCCATCAATCAATTAGTCATGGTTCTGCATTGTACTATGTAGGTTTTGTATAACTGTCTGGAAGCAAGTAAGATCAATATTGAAATAAGGTGTGAGAACAGCTGAAGATCACAAAACTATACAAGGGAAGAAAGTCATCCAAAGACAGAACCAAGTTATGGTTGTGGCTTAAAATGACCAAGAAGTTAGCTAGTTCATTTCCTTGCTTAGGGCAAAAGGGCAAAAAGCTTGCAACTGCAGCAACCTGGGCAGATGTCAGCTTGTGTTTCAAAATCTACTCAGTTCTTTCCATGTCCTTTACTGGACATGGTTTCCAGACCCTACATCACCCTACTTGCACTCTTCAGGTTTCATACATGTTGTGAGCCATTCAAAGTATATTCAGAAATCCCCTTATATGTCCATGTTTTATTTAAACTAAAAAGAAATAACAAATTGTTCTTAACGCTTGTTTGGTTTCAGCAGATTATTCTTAGGATTCGGATTGTCTCTTCCAAACCCAAGCTGGTAATTGTTGACAGACCATGCTGATTTCATGGCCCAGATTTAGGAAGAACAGAGCAGCTGTAAGGCTATGGGGTTGTTTTTGAAGGAATGTCCCTCTGCCTGGGATTCTTTTTAGCCTCTTCCTTACAAATGCAGTCTGTTTGTCTTGCAGTTTGCATCAAAATATTCCCAATGGCCCAACAAGGAATCTTAACACCATGAGTTGATAGAAGAGACATTAAGCAAAATGATGACTATTGGTTTCATTTCCCCCACTTCCATCTGCAGTAGTGGCATCATTATATCATTTGGCAGGCAGGCAGGCAAAGTGGAGAATGCCTTTGGGGTTGGGTAAGATTTTGAGGGAGGATCTGGACAGCCTCTGCCCAATCTGTTGAATACCTTGTCAGGACTGGCCAAGGAACACCCATCACCCTAATAGTGATATTTCCCATCCATAAGCTTTAATCTGTGGTGGTGGTAGTGGAGATTCAGTGTCAAATGGCATATCCTTCTTCTGATGTGTGAGATTACAAATGACAGAATTGTGACTGAAGTGACAGCATTTCCATTCATTTATGTGGGATGCTCTGGGCAGGGGTGTGTTCGATCGCTCACAAAAAATCCCACCCTGCCTTATATCAAGCCAGACTGCTGGTAGAACCAGCACAGCATTGATGGTGGATCTCCAGAATATTGAGGAAAGGTCTGAGAATGATTTTATCTCAAGCTGTCAGGAAGTAGTGAAGTCTTAAACATTTTCTGCATTTCTCTCTCTCCCCCCCCCTCCGCCCCCCCGCCCACCCGTCGCAGCTCCC